GATGTAGTAGAAACCCAGCAGGGATCATATATGAAACGATGGCACCGATGCGGCCTGATTAATGTGCTCCACTGCCTCGTTGGGCCAGACCCCAGACTCGCCATGTGTCTGGCTACCACACACAATAACAACGGTCGAGAATCTCAGTGTTCTACCCTGGGACGCACCCTGGAAATATATGTCCACAGAGTGTTGTAACAAGTATGTTTGGGATAATTAGTTGGAAATAATTATCCCATGTTGGGTAGTGGACCCAGGTATCTGCTGATTTCATTATTAATGTGTATGTTGAGTAAGGTCTTGTAACTGTACTGAGAAGTACCACTTGGATGTTGAGTAAAGTAATCTACAGTACAATGAGTGCCATGTACTATGTATTGTGAGTAGGGCCAAGGAACTGGTCCTGCTATGCCATGTAATGTAACACCAGTAAGGTTGTGTGCAGTAAGAGTGTAAGATCGGAGTAATTACTGTTGAGTAAAGAAATAAGAAAATAAGAAAATAAGAAAATAAGTAAAGAAGAAAGTACTGAGTCTGCAATAAGCCCAGGAGTTGAGCCTGGTAGTTATATGATTAATAATATATCTTTTTCCCTTTGATTTCATATTAATAAATTTGTTCTTAGAGTATTTTAGGTGTATTCATTTCTCCCACAGTATTTTACCTTTATTTCCGTCCAAGTGACTTGATACCAGAATTACCTTACCCATGTGCCTAGACCTTCGACCATGCTACCAAAGAATGACCATGCTACCAAAAGAATGTCCATGCTACCAAAAGAATAGGTGACAGAACCAAGTAAGAACTAAGATAAAAGAAGTAAGTAAGATGAGGGTGGTGTAGGTGTTGGAAAACACGCACCCTCACAGTTGTTGCTAAGAGGAGTTATGCTGAGGCCTTAGCAGGGCCACGGGAGGTGGCAGAGAGTAATGCAGGATCAGAACAGGTTCTACAGCAGCTAGGGACTCTGAAGAAGTGTGTCGAAGAAATGACAATTAGCAGACATACTGTTAGGGGAGAGGAGGAACAACGGGAACGTTTCCAGTGCAGGAACAATGTAATAGTTTTTGGAGTCCCTGAGAGCCAGGAGGAGTGAACTGAGAGTAGGATAACACACGATAAGATGCAGTTAAAGAATACCTGTACAGAGGTTCTGAAGATGCCATCAACCCCTCAAGATGTGAGAAGGCTGGGACAAAAGCAGGGGGATAAGCCTCGCCCCCTCAGGATCATACTAGTGAGTTTGGAGGAGAAATGGGAGGTTATTCGGCAGGCAAAAAACTTAAGGAGCGACACATCTCGGGGTGTATTCATTCACCCAGATCACATGGTAATGCAGAGGGAACAGCACAAGAAGCTCCTGTAGGGCTTGAAGCAGAGAAGGGAAGAGTCGAGGAGGAACGGGGACGTGTGTACATGGGTTATATTCAGGGGTAGGGTAGTGGAAGCAAGTATGCCGATACAGGGCCAGGGGTGCAGCAGCGCACCCTCCACCCACTCTACCCCTACCCGGGAGGTGGCACCAGCTCTGCCTACCAGCCGAGAGGAGGCGAGCGCCGTGTTAACAATGACATTTCTAACCACACCCTGCAAAATACATTGTACTTAGCAAATGCTGCAGCTTCTGAGAATTGGGGGGGGGTTTACTACTAAGAGCAGAGACGTTACCGAGAACAAATTCTGGCTTGAATGTCATGTACACTAATACTGATATGTTCCTTGATAATAGAGAGGAATTTGAAAAACACTACTGAAGGTACACCAACCAGATATTGTAGGAGTTGTAGAATTGTTGTACAAGAACAGGAGAATCGACCCAGAGGAATGCGAGTTCAGTATTGCTGGATACGACTCATTTACAAACATTTCTCAAGAAACTTGCAAGAGTGGTGTGGTTATCTATGCTAGGCAAGACCTTAGAGCCAGCCAGGAGAGGGTACAAGGAGAGGATGTTTTTGATGAGTCCAAGTGGTGTAAAATTAAATTAAAGGGAGGAGACTTACTTATTGTCAGGTGTATCTACAGATCCCCAAACTGTGGCCCACTAAATCAAAGGAACTTAAGAGGCTCAATAGACAATGCGATGATGCTCAACCCTAGCCACCTCCTTATCATGGGGGACTTTAACTATGGCAACATCGACTGGAGAAACGAGTTCACCCCAAATGACTTGAATATTCCTGCTACTCTTTTTGTAGAAACTAAGAGATAATTTTCTGTTCCAACATGTTAGAGACCTGACACATTACAGAGGGGAGCAAACACCCAAACCACTAGACCTCATCATAACAAACGAGGAGGGTATGGTGGCCAAACTGGAACACCTTGCCCCAGTTGGTACCAGTCACCATATAATGTTGTCATTCAGATTTAACTGTTACCTAGTTCAAGATAAGGCCAGGCCAAGGTGCAAATATTACAAGGGAAATTATAACGGGATGAGGGGTATCAACTGGCCTGACTCATTAGGGCACAAGAATGCAGACACTACACTGAATATCATAACTAGTAAAGTGACCCATTTGATCGATAAATCTATACCCAAGACCAAACCCAGTGCCTCTAGGAATATGAGGGGATCACTACACATGAACCATGTGGCGGTCGACAAAGTTAAGAAGAAAACCCAGAAATTCAAGACGTGGGTTGGGTCAAACGATGAGCAGGACAGAAGGATGTATGCAAAAGCCAGAAACCAAGCAAAGGTAGAGTGTAGAAGGGCTGAAAAGGAGTTCCAGAGGCTGGTTGCAAGCAAGGTCAAGTCAAACCCAAAGGCGTTTTACCGCTATGCAAAGTCGAAATTAAAAACGAGAGTAGGAGTGTCAGAACCGAGGCTTGAAGATAGTAGTTATGCAGATTCTGACCAGGATAAAATTGAGGCATTGAACAGCTTCTTTTCCTCGGTGTTCACAAGAGAGGATGTGATTAACCTTCCTGCGTTTAAGGACAGACGGTTCAACACAGCACTGACCCACATTGTGTTCCCAGAAGAGGGTATTAGAAATAAACAGTCAAAGGTAAAGGTCTATAAGAGTCCCGGACCTGACATGGTGCATCCTAGAGTGCTAAGAGAGTTGTGCAACGAGCTTGCCGAGCCCCTGAAGATGCTGTTTTGTAAATGCCTGGATGAAAAAAAGGTCCCCAGTGATTGGAAAGTGGCTTATGCGAGTCCTATCTTCAAGAAGGGCGATCATCACTCCACGAACAACTACAGACAAGTGAGCCTGACCAGCATAATATGTAAAGTACTTGAGAGTATTATCAGAGATGCCGCGATGGAACATCTACTACGAAACAACCTTGTAAAGGATTGCCAAAACGGTTTTATGCCGGGGCACTCCTGCTTAACACAATTGCTCAAGGTATTGGATATTTGGACCCATATTCTGGAACGGGGTGGTAATATCGACAATATATACCTAGATTTTGCCAAGGCTTTCGACAGTGTACACCACGAAAGGCTGAAAATCAAACTGGAAGGGTACGGAATTTGGGAAAATGTTCTAGTGTGGATAGAAGACTTTCTACATGACCGCAAGCAGTGTGTGGTGATTAATGGCACGAAATCATCACCCATACCTGTCACAAGTGGGGTACCACAGGGCAATGTATTGGGCCTGCTGTTGTTTGTTTGTTTCATAAATGACATGCCTGACGTTGTACACTCCTCCATACAAATGTTTACCGATGACGCCAAGTTATTTTGGGAAATCAAGAACCATGCGGACTGTGAAGAGCTGCAGAAGGACCTCTGTGAGTTCCAAAAATAGTCGAAGAAATGGCTGCTGAGATTCAATGTCACGAAGTGTAAGAGGATGCACCTAGGGCGTACCAATGATAAGGAGGTGTATCATATGTCCCAACAGGATGAAGAAACTGCACTATTTGAGACAATGTGAGAAGGACCTAGGTGTGTATGTTAACAATGAGCTGAAGTTCTCGGGCCATTGTGAGAAGCAAATAAATTATTGGGTCTTATAAGAAGGTCGTTCAGATATCTAGACGGACTGTCCCTCGTAACGATCTTCAAGATTGAAGTGCTTCCCCATCTGGCGTACTGTCACCCCGTCTGGTCACCGAGATATGCTAGGGACTGTCAGTTGGTTGAAAATGTTCAAAGGAGGGCCACCAGACTGGTGCCTGCACTTCAGCACCTCAACTACCCTAAGAGATTGGAGCTCCTGAACTTGCCTAGCTTATACTACAAACAGGCAAGGGGTGACCTAATTGAGGTGTATAAGCATCTCAAGGGGCACTACTCAGTCAAGTATCCTTATTTGGAGCTGGCGGACGCTCGTCCCACAAGGGGTCACAGCTCAAGATTGAAGAAGCCGCAAGTCCAGAAAACTGTGAGGGCAAACTTTTGCGGAGTGAGAGTTGTGAACTCTTGGAACAATCTTCAAGAAAGTGTTGTGACGGCACCGAGTGTGAGCTCTTTCAAGACCATACTTGATCAACACTGGACCAGGTTCAGGTACATTCAGGAGCCAGTACATGCCAACAGTGATTAACAGAGACGTGACCAATCGTCCAAGCGGCTAACGAGCCGATCAGTGGTGAAGAGGATAAAGAAAAAGAAAAGAAAACTGAAGGGTCCATCATGTACACTGTATACAAAGGAATCTAACACCTCTGTTCTAAAAATTACAAACTTAATTTTACATTTATCTACTACAAGACAGCCTCCTACTTAGTGCAGTGTAACAAACCCACTATGAACTGTTATATGTGCTGGATGAGTTTTGGAAGTACTGCACAAGCAACCATACCTTAGCTAATTAAGCACTGCTCTATAGGTGCTAGCATTACTATGTCAGTATAATACAAATGTGGGTTAAATTTGGATTAAAAAAAATACCTAGACTTGCACACAGATATGGTAATGCAATTTGTAATCAACACACAGCAGCATTCTATATACTTCAACTAACTGTACTGGTACTCATTTCATTGACAGATTATTTCTATATTATTTTTATCTAATATTTCATATTTCTAGATATTTGCAATATACAGTACATGCTTACATTCATTATGGTTCTGGACATTCATTATGGTTCTGGAGGTAGCAATGGGTAACAAGCTTCGTCCAATGCAGCATCCTGGAATATGGGTAAAGAAAATAGCTACTGTATTACAACAATAGTCATTTACAAAACATGTAAAAAATATTCTCTAAATTTCATGAAACTTTTAGTTTATAAAGTACAGGTATAATAAAAATTAATAATTAATTTATATCAAGTTACACTCAACATCAAATATAAATGTTCTTCCTTTAACACAATGTATTTACCATTGCTTTGAAGAACACCTTGTTGGCCTCTTGTTCAAATAAATCACGTTCCTCATCAAACTTCTCGCCGATGGTGCCGTTCTTCTTATCTGCCTCGTCCATGTTCTCCAGGTAAAACTATTTGAAAGCAATAATGGCATTTTGTAGAAATTCAAGTTAACTGGAAACCATTTACAAGTGTCCACCAACCTTAATCCTTAGGACCCGGGTGACATTCCAGAACGTCCGCCTGTTTTCCAGGCCAATTTTTTTCTTCTTTTATTATTATTTTTGGAAAAGTTGACTTTTTACTCGATTTATCCCCGTAGGGGGTTTACTGCCGGCAGCACCCTAACCCGGGACTTAAGGGTTACCGTATATGGCGGTGTACAAGTCGACCTTTGAAGCCAAATTTTTAGTGTCCAAAGTTAGGGGGTCGACTTATACGATGGGTATAAAATGATGATCTCTAAAATCATGACCATAAGTGAGAGTATTTCGTATGGCAGGAGGGGCCATGGCTGTCAGCTGTCTGGTCAGTGGCTGTGTGTGGACTGTGGTGGAAGTCAACTGAGTTCAGTGTTATGATTGTTGGGTCAGTCACTAATGACTTTGTGTGTGACGTCATGTATAGAGTGGCTTGTTTGACTGTTTACCTGTTTATGTATGTGTTTTGATGGTAGACTTGGTCCTTCACAACACTTGACAGCTGCTGGAGTTGGGGAGTCAACTTATATGGTAGGTATACCTCTATGACCATATTTTTTTGCTTGAAAAGAGGGGTCGACTTATACGCCGCCATATACGGGTAAGCAGCAAACAGGATACAATACACGATACTGTCATATTGAACACCATTGGCTTTTGGGGTGAAGTAAATTAAGAATAAGTCATCTGTGTGTCTGCAGATTGTAACAAAAATATAATAGACCCTTGCCATTCGCAAGTTTGCAATTCGCGATTTTTACGATTCGTGGTAAGCAGATGGTGGCTATGGTGGCTGAAGGTTCCAAGTGTTCCCTGAAGAATGCAGTGATGGGTAGGGAAACACCGGGTAACACTGAAGTCCATTTATTCGGATAGGAGAAATACAAGTGGTGACTAGCGTGTGCCATGCACGGCCCACGAAGTCAGACTGAGACTGCCTTGCCATATGGCAGCCTCGGGGCACTGTTGCCACATAACACGTGCAGTGTTGCCACGTAATTATATACATAGATGCTACTCGGCACAGTAGCTTATATACAGTTGTACCCCGCTTTACGCGGTTTCGCTTAACGCGATTTCTCATATATGCGGTGCCTCACCAGAACCGAACTTTCACTTAACGCGGTTCATCTACCCATATACGCGCAGAGTGTCCGGCTCGAGACGCTATTTTTAGATGAGTGCTGGCGTGGCTGGTCAGTTGTTTGGTATAGGTATACAGTAGTGCACTATGGTACAGTGAGTTCTGCTATAACGCGTGTTTTGATAACGCGAATTTGCTGTAACGCGATTTATGAATAGAGGAACGATATTTGTATAACGCGAACGCTTGTTTGCTGTAATGCGATTTTTGGTATTAACTGAATATGGTAAAGAAGAATATCTCCAAGAAGCGTTCTGGTGATCGAATTCCCGGTGATGATCGTAAAAGAAAGGATATAACACTCGAAGAGAAGCTCGATGTTATCAACCTCAAAATCACCCTTCTCCCCCATCAAGTTACATTCATATTTTTTCAAGGTAAAGTGTTACATTTACTGTATGATTTCATTATTAGATATGAATGTAACATTTATTTAGACTGTGCTATCCTTTGCGTTAGGCTAACTACTAAATTTTTTCGATTTCGAGTAATCTGCACCTAACCCTATTTTCTCCATAAGCCCTGTTATTTCTATTACGCGATTTTCTATAACACGATATTTTACAAGAACACAACTATCGCGTTATAGCAGAACTGACTGTAGTAAAAGTTTCAATTCGCGGTTTTGCTAATTCGCGTCATTTCTTGGAACCTATCCCTCGCGAATGGCAAGGGTCTACTGCACCACAAATTGTATACTGTATAATATGGCCTCAGTGGTACAGAAACCTGTTTTTAATTTTGTGAAGTGACCTCAGCATTTAGCAAAAAGAATTTATTCAGTATATGGAAACCAATGATCATCAGTTTTGATCCAGTGACTTCAAATTCAACAGGGAATTTTAATTCCCTTGTGATGATAGATTTTTTCTTCATTGTCATCAACCTCAGCTATAACACTCATCATCTCAGCATCAAAAGAGGTGTCTAGGACAGCTGCTGTTATATGGAAATCATAATCCTCAGGTTTAGTACAGCATTTTCCTGGCAAAATCCCAGACATTCCAAGAGATTTAAAAATTCCTCTCAGACGGAGATTTAAGGACAAAAAAGGAGGACACGCCCAGAAAACTATGGATGTAAGGTAACCCTCGGCTACATGACTTTTGTGGGTGACTGTACAATACTGTATACAGCTTCTCCACATTATGCTATCACATTAGGCCAAGGCTTTCGACAGTGTACCCCATGAAAGGCTGAAAATCAAACTGGAAGGGTACGGAATTCAAGGAAATGTCCTAGCGTCGATATAATAATAATAATAATAATAATTAACGGTTTATTGAAAGAGCTTGGCAGCCAGAAGGCTGAAAATATACAGTTACATATTTGGGGAATGGGTTACGAATTACAAATAATATACAAGTGACACAAATAAGACATATAATAACTTAGATGGGGATCAGCTCAAACTACAGTTCATTTCAACATAGTGACAGTGTAGGGAGCAGTGTTTACTGGGAGTGAATACACTGATTTATTACATGTTATTGATAATTTTTACAATGGTTGGGACTGGGCTGTTCTTATAGCGATCAGTTCGTGCACGTATGGGCTGGATGCGGTTGTGGTGTCGAACAGCAATTCTCGGACAGGGGATCTCAGGTGGTAGTAGGGGCCGGTGTCGGGGATGGTGTAGAAGCTTCTTACCAAATTTGCAGATGAGGCCGTGGTGATGGTCAGTGAGAGTCGAAAGGGTCAGTGTGTTGAGCGCTTCTTGATATGTGGAGTAGGAAGGGGAGAGAATAATCTTGCATGCCCTCTTTTGCACTTTTTCTAGGTGTTTACGTTGTGTGGCATTTAGGGAGGAAGACCAGGTGGGGGAGGCATAGGTGAGCTTGGGAAGTATGAATGTTGTGTATACACTGAGGAGCTCGTGTGCGGGAACTCCGAGGGACTTGAGTCGGCGGAGGAGGTGGAGACGGAAACTGGAGGATTTGACAACTTCACTGACGTGTGGTTTCCAATTTAGTTTGTTGTCTATGGTGACGCCGAGGAGCTTCGTGGAATCTACAACCTGGAGTGTGTTCGGACCTAGGGTAATGGAAGGAGGTGGGACAATGTCGGAGGAGAGGTTGATGTGCATAACCATTGTCTTGGTATGGTTGATGGTGACATGGTTGTTGGTGGCCCAGTTTTGGAGACTGTTCAATAAATCCTGAAGGGCGGTATAGTTGGGAGCGGAATTGTTGACGCTGATCCCAATGGTGGAGTCGTCGACATATTTCCAGCGAGCAGGGGTTTCTCTTAGGGCATCATTGATGAGCATAAGGAAGCAGAGTGGTCCCATCTTGGTGCCTTGGGGGACGCCACAGGTGAGTGACTGAAAGGTGGAGACAGCCCCTCGGAAGCGTACAGCTTGGCGTCGGTCACTGAGGAAGTCTGTAAGCCATGGTATGAGACTTCTCCGAAGCCCGAGGTCAATAGCTTTGTTTATGATTATATTGTGGTCGACTAGGTCGAACGCTTTAGTGAAATCAATGAAGGCGACAGCTACAGACGTTTTTCGTTTCTCGAGATGGCGGTATATGTAATCGAGAAAGCTGACAAGACAGTGAGTGGTGGAGGAAGTTTTCATGTTGCCAAATTGCTGAGGGTCTACGACTCCTGCAATATCAGCATAAGCCCAGTCAAACACAAAACTTTCACAGATTAGGCTGGGTATTGGGGTGATTGCAATAGGTCGTAGCTGATTTAAGGATTGTGGGCTGGTTGACTTGGGCACTGGTGATACATAAGAGGTCTTCCAGTCAGCTGGGCATCTGGCTTGACTGAGAGAAGCATTGATGATGGAGCAGAGGGGTTTAGCAAGCTCCGGGGAGAACTCCTTGAATAGTTTCATTGGTAAGTCAATGGGGGTGGTAGAGCGTTTTAATTTTAGTTTGTCCAGGCGTTTTGCTACGTCAAATTCCTCTACTAAGTCAGTGGGAAGGGGGGCTGGTAGGTAAGCAGGGAGAGTGGTTGTGTCAAGCCGTGGGAGCGTCTGGCATATAGTAGCGAAATGGTTATTTGTTTGCTCAGCTGCGTCAACATTAGTGAGGTGGCTAAGGAAGGGGAGGGGGTGTGTCATATTGTTTAGTCCACAGAGTTCTTTAAGCTTACCATACCATTGACTGATGTTGGTCTGCTTCAGGTGTTGTAATTTGGTTGGGTAGTGGGACTTCTTTGCAGTGCGTATTTCGCGGATGACTCTGTTGCGGAGTGACCTGTAGCGGATGTGGTCATTGAGATGAAATGCTCTGTCTCTCTGTTGCATAAGTCTTTTGATCCGAGGTGTGATCCAGGGCAAGACTTTCCACATGACCACAAGCAGTGTGTGGTGATTAATGGCACAAAATCATCATCCGTACCTGTCACAAGCGGAGTACGACAGGGCAGTGTATTGGGCCCGCTGTTGTTTGTTTGTTTCATAAATGACATGCTTGACGTTGTACACTCCTTACAATTGTTTGCCGATGACTCCAAGTTATTTCGGGAAATCAAGAACCAAGTGGACTGTGAAGAGCTGCAGAAGGACCTCTGTGGGCTCCAAGAATGATCGAAGAAATGGCTGCTGAGATTCAATGTCATGAAGTGTAAGAGGATGCACCTGGCGCGTACCAACGGTAAGGAGGCGTATCATATGTCCCAATGGAATGAAGAAACAGGCACTATTTGAGACTGAATGTAAGAAGGACCTAGGTGTGTATGCTGACAATGAGCTGAAGTTCTCGGGCCATTGCGAGTAGAAGGTAAATCAGGCAAATAAATTATTAGGTCTTATAAGAAGGTCGTTCAGATATCTAGACGGACTGTCCCTCGTAACGATCTTCAAGAGTGAAGTGCTTCCCCATCTGGAGTACTGTCACCCCGTCTGTTCCCCGAGATATGCTAGGGACTGTCAGTTGGTTGAAAATGTTCAAAGGAGGGCCACCGGACTGGTGCCTGCACTTCGTCACCTCAGATACCCTGAGAGATTGGAGCGCCTGAACTTGCCTAGCTTATACTACAGACGGGCAAGGGGTGACCTAAATGAGGTGTATAAGCATCTCAAGGGGCACTTCTCAGTCGAGTGTCCTTACTTGGAGCTGGCGGACGGCGTCCGCCGGACGCTCGCCTAACAAGGGGTTACAGCTCAAGATTGAAGAAGCCACAAGTCCAGAAAACTGTGAGGGCAAACTTTTTCAAAGTGAGAGTTGTGAACTCTTGGAAATATCTACCAGAAAGTGTTATGACGGCACAGAGTGTGAGCTCTTTCAAGACAAGACTTGACCAACACTGGAGCAGGTTCAGATACATTCAGGAGCCAGTGCATGCCCAGTACTTGCCAACAGTGCGTAACAGAGACGTGACCAATCGCCCAAGCAGCTAACAAGCTGATCATTTGGTGAAGAGGATAAAAGAAAAGGAAAAGTAATCAGAGACGTGACCGATTGCCCAAGCGGCTAACGAGCCGATCAGTGGTGAAGAGGATAAAAGTAAGTAAAGTGATCAATTATAAGTCACACTAATATGTATGAATGAGATACCCATAAATACAGTACAATAATTAAATACATAGATGAAACTGAAAAAAAGTGTGTTGAAAAGTGACTCCATCCCCAAAACTGCTCATTGAAGAAATTTAGGAGATCACAGGAGACACATAAGTAAATGGACATTATAAGGAGACAAAAATCCTACCTCCCAAGATTCATCACATAGAGCACAGAGACACTCAGACAAGCACATGGAGAGAGGAAAGTACTTTATGTCCAATAATACCAGTTAATGCAAAGTTTGATTGTACAATAACTCACAATTTTATATAAAAAAATGTACTGCAGGTACTACAAAGGTGCGATATGAACCTTACCTCATCAAGAGTTTTATTGAACTTCTGTATTTGGCCCCTGGTGCACTTGGCTGTGTTGCCCATGGCTTCAATCATGCCCTCCAATCGAATTTCTCTCATATCCAAGGGGTCCAGGTGACCATCCCACAATTTCACTTCAATAGATGCACCATCCTGTGAGCATGTAAAGTAAATTACAAGCAATTTAAAATCCACTATATTTGCATTATTTCTAAACGTGTGTAATTAATGTAATTCTAGAAAGACAGAGACACCTAAAAATTCCTGATATTTACTAATACTGTACTACTATACCTACCGTATACTTAATTTAATATCTTTACAGTAAGGTCTCCCTAAAATAGATTAAATGTTGTGCAAGCACTCTAGATATGGGAAAAATACATAAAATATTAAATTACCCGAGAATCCACATGTACCCGGTACTGTAATCAGGGACACTCTAAACATCAACTTGGCTGGCTGAGTTTTTTCATGCACAATTCTCAAGTAATAAGAAACAAGTGAACACTTTGCAAAAACCTAGTCAGCCTTCAGAGATTTTCAGTTAAAAGATACAATATAGAGTACTGTACAGTATGGGAGATTTTCCTGCAGGGTTGGCAAAAAACACTTTTTTAACAGGGTTTTTTTATGCTGTTAGTTTTAATAAGTTTTATGTTTTCAACTGTTTCACTTTCTTTCCAATTTACTCTTACTGTTGCCCTGCTGTTCTCATAGAATGCTTTTACTACATTTAATAGCCGTCTCCCCACCCCATACACTTGTAATACTTCCCACAATTCTTTTCTGTTCACCTTATACACTATTACAAATCAACTATAAATCATTAAAACCACCAGTAAGTAAAACAAAAACTTATTAAAACCAACAAAAACTCTATCAAAACCAAGAAAAAATGTATAGATTCAAAAAACAAAAAAATATACAGGTAGGTATTTAAATTGGCCAACCCTGCTTTACTATACAGCTGCTCCCTGACTTACGACGGGGTTAGGGACCGACATCCAGGTCGTAAGTCGAAATGGTCGTAAGTCGGAAATGCTTAAATAACACATAGAAAATCGAAAATGGGTGTCTCTTTTTCTTCTCAGCACCACAAAACACACACTTTTAAGCTTGCCAGCCATTTTAAAGTGATTTACAGATGAAAATTTTTGTCTGTGTACTGACTTTGGGACTCGAAAATACGTAATATGACCAAATTTTGGTACGACTGAGGCAAGTCGTAAGTGCGGGTGGACGTAAGTCGATAAGGTCATAAGTCGGGGAGTAGCTGATTATCTTAAATATATTTGGAGAAAACAAAAAACTTACAAGGGGTTTCAGGTAAGATTTGTTACGAATGAGGACCTGAGCTGCTGGGGCAGATTCACTCAGTGAGGTGAGCAGGAGAGGGTCAGGGTGGCCAGCCAGCAGTGGCAACCAATGTAACCCACTCATTGCTGACCCACTGTGGAGACAAACACAAAACCCAGTTGTAATTTATAATATGAATCAACATACTTTGTCAGTGCAATACAATAATAATGTAAATATAAAATGATTAAAGAGCACAGCATTAAGTGTCCTTTTTTATTTTATTGACATGATGCTAAGTGAGGCATTGTTGAGGACAGGAAACACCATGGATGAACATTTATGCTACAAAACTAAAATCAAATGAATGATGGAATGAAGGGAAAAGGAGTGTTTGTTCTTGATTCTGGCTTTTTTTTCCATTTTACTCTGGACTTTCCTCTATTCATTCCCACATACCTGTCCATTCTCTTCATATTCATTTTAACTACAGTATACATCTACACTTGATCACTGTCTAATCCAATAAAATTTTGTAGGGAAGTGTCTAGGGACTGTGGAAGGGGAGGGTAGAAACATGGATAAACAGATAATAGCAATTTGTCTCTGTGGGGATAGTGGAAGGAAATGAAAGAAAAGTCTGAGAACAACAATAAAGAGAGAAAAAGAAACAACTGACATATATTTAGAAGGAACACTGTACAGTATCACCAATCTGAAGCAACATTTATTGTACTGTAATGTTACTTATGTCATTCAACAATTTACTAGGACAGTGGGTCTTGAAGATACTGTAATTTGTTTACAATAAGAGTATGGCATGCCTGTGCTGCAAGTGTGGTTGGAATGAGGTTGCACACAGAAAATAAATTTAACCCCTTCACTGCGGGGGCACCACTTTTATTTGGCTAATGCCATACTATTTTATTCAACACAGAGGGGAGCCCATACACAAAGGGCTAAGCACAAAATGGATTATATCACCTGTAATTAAATAATCTCTAATATCTCATTGCAAACAATAAAAGTAAACAACAGGGGAACTGACCAGAATGTGATCACAATATAAAAATTTTAAAAAGTCATCTCTCTATCACCAACTTGTTAAAAATCTGGGTGAAGGTCCAGGCAAGAGGCTCATTGAAGTCGAAGCTGACATCCTGGCCATCTCTGGTGGTGACCTTGCCAGGTGAGGAGCCATTACCTGGGAGGTACTTAGGTTGGAACCCAAACACCTGCACAAACAGGATGGACTGCTCATCATAGTATGGGTGGAGACTCTGTGGAAGTAGTGTTGAGTCACCTGACTGCTGCCTATATATAGTAAATAGTGCTCATTACTGATACTGTACTGTCAGTCTATACAGCTAGATCTACTAACAATACTGTACTGTACTGTTGTAAGTGTAGACCTACAGCAGTATTGACAATAATTACTACACCTACAGCTGGACTGTCAGCCCAACTGCTACAACGAAATACAGTACCTCCACATTTTGAGCCAAGAACCAGCAGACTTAAAATATTCAGCAAATGACCATTTCTATTGACCAAAATTTCCCTAATTCAAATAATAAAAAAATTCACTATTGTATTTTGACAAAATTTCTGAAAATGTATTTCTGGCTCACCACTGGATCATCAAGCCACTGTGGTGCACGCTGATATGAGAGGAAGTCAGCATTCCTTGTGATGAAACGCTGATCATTGCCATGGCCTTCAGGTGTGGATGGCTGGTCCTCAATGTCCTTCCCCGGGAGGACATGGCAGTAAACATGGCAGTAGTGGCCCTCCAGTTGTTCTGTTGACAGCTCAAAATCTCACTTCTTCACATACTCAACCCTCTTACTAGGTGTTAAGAGCACATACAGTATTACAGTACATAAAATTGGCTAATGAGATGACCATTAGAGAAGATCAGATCCTCTTCTCCACTGATATTAGAAAATAAATACCTGTACAATGAAATAACTTTTCACTGTGTGTGTGTGTGATTGAATTGGCTATAAAAGAAGCTTTTAAACCATATGCATGTCTACAGGAAATACCTTAACAGTACTAGCCAACAGTGCATAACAGAGAACTGACGGACTGCCCAACTGTCCGAAGAGGATAAAGTAAAGTAAAGAAGCTAGTTGTTGTCTCACCTGGCAGACCAAACACACCCAGGACGACTGCCTTAAACCCTGCCTTAATGTCATAGTGGATGAAGTGGACATAGTCAATGTCTGGAGGTGGTGCCTTTGTTTTCTTGGTCTGTACCCGCCAGTCTAAGGTCTCCTCCATGTATTTCTGGGGAAAGACAAGTTTTACCTCAATATTAAGGTATTTGAGGACCAATTAGGCATGTGAGGACCAGTCAGGCATGTGTGTACCAGTCAGGTGTGTGAGGACCAATCAGGTGTGTGAGGACCAGTCAGACATGTGTGTACCAGTCAGGTGTGTGGGAGCAAAATTCGTGTGTACATGTACCAATCTATTATGTACAGTCAACCCTCACTTTACGCGGTTAATTCAACCCACGGCGGCCCGCGTAAAGTGAACAACATAACATATGGGATTAATTGAAATAGAGACCGGGCCGACCCCCAAACTCCACTTTTTCAGACACAATACCTACGTTGTAGTAAAAATAACTTCTTAATTTTATGATGGTATGCACACACAATTAATAATTAAGAGAAATATCAATAATATTAGGTTTTTTAACACTAACATTAGTAGAAAAGATGGCTGGGCACACGGGGATGGGGGGTTGGTTCCGAGGCAGAGGGCAGATTATTGGCCCTCACCTGTATCACTTGTATCACTATCCACCACAGAGGCTTGCAGGGCCTCTTTGTCAAACCCCTCAAAGTCCATATAAGTCCATATCCTCACTATAATTATCACTATCACTGACTTGGGCCGGCTGTGGTGGGTGGCGGGTGAAGAACTCGGTAATGTTTTGATGACTGGGCGATCTTGTGCGCACCCTGCTCGCGCCGCTTACACAACATGGCGGATTGCGGGAGAGGGCGGGAGAGATGGCGGGAGGTTTGGATCCAAAAATGGCGCGGCTCGCCAGCCGCTCTCCGCGTAAAGGGGTACACGCATCACGGAATGTGAGCATTCCGGTTTCAGCAGGGTACCGCGTAAACGTGGAATGTGGGAGCGCGTAAACGTGGAAACGCGGAATGTGGGACCGCGTAAACGTGGAATGTGGGACCGCGTAAACGTGGAAACGCGGAATGTGGGACCGCGTAAAGCGAGGGTTGACTGTACTGTATATGACAACCAGCAGGAGGATGTGTTTCACTTAAGTGAAGATATGATAACTCGCAGTACATGGCCGGAGGCTTCTATATAATACTGTGGCATTATTGTAAGGAACGCTCATCACTACACGTTGATACAACATAAGATATAGACGGATATAAATAAGTTAATTGGCTGGAGGACTTACCTGAAGTTCGTCGTCATCAGTGGACACTGTCTTACCAGCACTCTCCTGAGCCCTCTTTATGGTGTCGCTCACCGTGCTGCTCCTGTGGGGATAACACTATCTTGATAATACTGACAGAAGTAGGGTGATTGGGATCTTCCAACTTTTTAATTTATTAAATAATATAAATTATATTTCTAATATAAGTAGAATTTTATTAATACTAGATTTCCTCCCACATCAGTCTGTCCCAAGGGTCATTCCTATATGAAATAATCCCAGATGGAAGCCAACAGATCAACCACAAAGCTCATGGTAACAGTAAATCGATCAGAAATGTGCATAGATATTTGAAATAGTACTTAACACTAGGGACTCGAGCATCTAGGTACAATGGGTGAATATTGTAATACAGTATGCCCCTATAATGAACCTCTATGTGACACACTTAATAGCTGATACTACAGTATACTGTACTGTCTAAAATGCCAATTGCAAAGCAGATCCAATTCCTGTAATTACTACTTAAAGTAAGTGAGGTATTAATGGTGAACAACACACTTGTAGTCCTCCTTGTGGATGTAGTGGCGGAAGAGTCGACGATCGGTGTCGGTGGGTTGACAGTCTGAACTCCTGTAGTAGCCGGATTCATAGGGAGGCGCTGACACATGATCCTAGGGAGACAGTCATATTTCATCACTTTACCTCATTCCTCCATACACACACACTCAACCTGCACCTCCATAGTTGACCCTTCTGTCACTTCAATGCACTTGAGAGGCTCCTCTTACCTTTATCCCCCCCTCCCCCCCCCAAAAAAAGATCTGCCATTAACACCAAATCCCCAAAGGTTATCACTTCCTTTCAAGCATACGCGTGTGATGTATAATGTCACTTTTTTCTTATATTAGGGGTAGTACAAATTCATCGCAGAGCTAGACTGAAAATCAGATCATCAAATCAGAGCATTACCTGAGTAGCGGGGAGTAACCGGATGCAAACGGAGGCAGCTGGAATATGTTCATTAAGGTCCATGTCACTGGGTTTGAGGTTCTCCAAGCCATGGGGTGGGTTGGGAAGGCCATGACGTAGGCGAAGCTGTAGCCCACCCACAATTAGCGTTGGTGGTGACTTAGTGCTGTCGAACACAGGGATGAGGCACGACCCCACCACCACCACATTGCTGCCATGAGATTAAGGTGGTTATTGATGATATGGTATAAATACCTAACAGCCCCTCTTGGTGATTAACAGTTCCCACTGAGGAAAATTTGGAGGTTTCTACACTTTACACAACTTGACGTACATGAAATAATTCTTATGCCAGTAATGGTGAGAAATTTTTTTACAATTGCATTAAAGAGTTCCTTTACCCTCAATGGTGATGTTTACATAAATGTGGCAATGTCACAATGCCAAACTTCTTGAATGAATGGATAACAGTCTTGTAACAATAGAGCTGATTGGTGGGCAAGTTTGGGTGCTGGATGTCAGGAGATAAGGTTTGGGGGTTACTGCCCCAGATGTATAACTGTGAGGGTTACCCCATCACCATACTATCATGTTAAATATGTAATCCTCAGTATCCTGTTTTTATATTTCATGATGACTCTGAGCACACCTGTGAAGATAATCCCCACTGCCGCCATGACCATAGCACCTCACTCACACACTACTCCATGATACAGGCCTACCATTGGGGTTGGCAAAAACCATTGTCAAAAAAAAAAAAAAATAAATAAATAAATAAATAAAAATCAATAAACGCTTTTTGTGGGAAAATGGACTTTTGATAATTTATTCTGACAAAAGCCAAACGATTTTATTTTGGTTAATGCCAGCCAATTTATTCAGCTTAGGAAGGGCCTCTATGCCTTAAAAAGTTAATAACTTTCTTAACATTCATAGGAATACTGTAGTACTTATAAAACACTTCAAATCAGTAGGAGCAGATGATTTTATTCCCATGAAACCTATCAGCTTTGAGATACCCATTAGTTAAGTCATTTAATGAGGTTGGAGTCAAGGGGGTGGGGGGGGGGACTACTGATATGGGGTGACTGACCCAACCAAACTCATGGTCATGTTCTCACCAATATATCCTTATATTCATATTTCTATATATTATTCCCTTCACTGTTGCATTGTTTTGTGTTATTATAATGTGTATCATGCATGAATCAACCTCGACATACAAGTACTGTACAGAAGTAATGCATTATGAATTTTGAGGTTTCAATACTTTGAACCATTGTATTATTCATTGTATGTACAGTATACTATATACCAAGGTGCCAGTGTCCTTGTATGAAGAAGCTTTGTGGTGTATAATAATCATGAATTACAGTAATTTTCTCATATGCATCTATGTGTTCTACGGTATACGGTATTGGTGTAATGGTCAGCATGCTCGCCTCGCAAGCAAGCGGACCCGGATTCGATCCCCGGGCAGGGTGAAACTATGGGCAAGTTTCTTTACACCATTTGCCTCCATCTACCCAGCAGTAGTTAGGAATCTGGATGTTAGTCGATTTGTGGATCGTGTTGTGGGGTAATGGTTAGCCAGTGCAGTTGGTGAGTTGTCTGGTCTTCTCAGACTATTCCTTGAAACTGGGTCATGCAACTCGTTAACTCATGGTGTGGTTTTTGTGTTGGGGACAGCTTAAACAAATTCCCACCTCAGTGGCCCTTGGGCTGGCCATCCTTGTTACATGAGGGGTAACCATTATTATTATTGTTATACAGTATTTCATTTATATTTGAACATCTATTTATCATTAGTTCTGAGCAAAATTACATCTAGAAATATTTTCCAACAATCATCTCCATTGTCACAAGATTACTACGGATTCATTCACAAATTTACTGTAGTAGTGTGACTCAACCACATGTACGTACTGTAAATGTTACCACAGTAATGATCCTGTACAATAAGTTATACACACAAATGTTTATATGCTAATACATGTACAATTGTACACATACTACTTTTAAGGGTTCTGTACAGACACACACTTACTTGTAGTGCTTCTGGTAGCCATACACACGCAGGACAATGATCATGTTAGGATTAAGGAAGACCCGGTCCTCGTTAAGCCTCACCTTACACCTGCCAGGGTAGTTGAGCGCTTAGTTATAAGGTAATGGTAGACAGGCTATCAGCAACTGTGCAAGGTCAAGCTAGTTAGGTTTTTAGTGCTACTACAAGGTCATGTCAGGTGCCTATTAACACTGCATGGTCATGGTAGTTAGGATTTTAAAACCTGTACAAGGTTATAATACGGTAATTAAATAAACCTGAGGGAGGGATAGCAGGTGAAAAACTTACCTGAGGGTTGGGCAGCGGGTAGAGGAGCCAAGTTGGGCGTAAGTCACTATGTCTGGGACTCGCTCGTCCTTAGACATGTACATATTGACGACCCTGGCAGTGACCTGCAGTGGTGAGACATCTATTAGTGGATGTAGATTTAAACCTTCCAAGTGAGCTGCTGTGCCGGGGTACAAAACTATCAATTTAGAGATTTTATAAAGCCTTTGTCATGTGAGGGTCTGAGAAGCGCATGAACAATCAAAAGAGACTAAATAATAATGCAGTAATAATATTTATTCAATAAATTTATACAGGATTACAACTGGATAAACATATTTATAAATTACTGTACGTAGTTATACAAATTACCATGAATATAGACAATATAAGTATACAGTCCACGTAGTCCATGGGAGTATATACAGTTTTCTGTGTGCTGAGACAGTACAGGTAAACAACAATAGTAAGGCACCTTGATTAAGAATAGTCGACAAAGCTGCCAGGTGCTTATGTCCAGGAGGGTCCTATATGCTTAGGCTTGATCTCTAATCAGTCAAAATTTATATGTCAGAATTCAACAAGCATTGCGTTGCGTTTGAACTATCCGAGCCTGGCAGATCACTACCGCAGTACTACATTTTGTAGTATAATAATAAAGAAACTCACTCTCTTCTCTTGCTGTAGCTTCCTTTATTATTATGTATCTCTTTGTTTTAGGTTTAAATTGCTTAATACCATACCCAGTTTTGATGTGGTCTGGTATCTTGTTCCAGTCTATTATAGCAGTAAAGTAGAAAATGTTTTTTGCTTGACCACGGACACTAGGTAATATAAAATTATGTTCACTCCTTCTAGAGCCCTGTCGGTTCATATCCATAATCCTTACAAAGTTTGTTGTTAAATACTCTGGGCACAGTCCATTGAAAATCTTGCAAGCATGATTCAGCCTCAGTTGCTTCACTCTATCTGTCACACTTAACATGTTCAGTGATCTCTTGAATTCAGGTAAAATATGAATCTCACTACCTTGTTTCAAATAATTTTGAGCTTGGATTTTAGCTTCTGTGTTAGAACAGAGTACTATGATGAACAGAAATAGTCCAAGTGACATTGTATGAGTGCCAAGCAAAGGGTCATATGGGCATCAACTGAGAGGCATTCAGCATTTCTATAGATAAATTTTATTCTGGCATCACCTTTTTTAACTATATTATCTATGATTAATACTCCAGACAAACAAGTCAAGAGTTTGTCCTAGGTACAGTATTTTACTGAGGTTATAGTTGAGATGGGTTCATTCCCACATAGTACAAAGAAATCCTTTACCCCTTTAAGTTTTCTTTTTGATCCAAATAATATTGCTGCAGTCTTTGCAAAATGTAGATAATTTGTTGTTAATGAGATCCCTGATTGCATGATTCCAGCTCAGATGATAACTCATTCGCTATATCATTTGGATCTTTACCTAACACTAAAAGAGCACTGTTGCCAGCATACAGCAAAAGTGTACAATTAACACTAATGGGCATGTCATTAACATAACACAGGAAGAGCAAAGGTCCTAGGGACTCCTTGTGGGACTCCTTAGGCTATTGGCATGAATATTGACTATTGCACCAACATATAACATACAGACACAGTGAATTGAGTGATCATTATAAGGTAGAGTTATGACAATGCCCATTAACTGTAAGGCATCGGTTTGCTCCATACATGAATTAAGCCGATTTAATGGTGCTTAACTTGCAATGCCAAGACTAACACTCACCTTACAATGAGTGATGTTGTCTGGGAGGAACCGGACGGCATCAATATAGAAATCACAAGGCTCGGTGGCCCTGGTGGGTGAAGGGAGCTGAGGATCCGTCTTGTCCTTCTCATGAGGCAGCCATGCATTGTGCTCAGGTGGTGGGGGTGGTGGAGTCGGTGTCCGAGGTGGTGTGGGGGTGGGAGGTGGTGTAGGCTCTGGCAGACAAGGAAACGAGGATACAGTTTTTGGTTCATCTTGCATGTGGAAAGAGGACAATGATTCATAATTGCTCTGTAAGTGACAATGATAAAAATTTCTCCCCATATCATTGATAAAAACAAAGAAAATGGCTATGGACAAAATGCTACACAGAGGTACCAGCAAGAACTAGATAAGAACTTACCTGATTCACTCTCGGTGTCTGGTGGAGGCTCCGGGATAGGCAGTTCTTCGTCATCATCACTGTCAGAGTCGAGATCAAGGTCGATGTCGAAGATGCGGTCTGGGGCGAAGGGTAACACTGCCGCTGAAGCTAAGAGAAGAGTCGTTAGTTATAAAGTTTACTATTGGTGGCAGTGTTACTGTCTATTAGAGGGCAGTAGGGAGAGGGAGAAAAACTTGTAAAAACTCTCTCGCACTCTGTCTCACTCATTCTCTCCCTCTCTCACACTCACACACACCTATTCTCTGCCGGTCTCTCTCTCGTGTGTATGAGTGCATGCATGAGTGTGTCTGTGAGTGTGTGTTTAAGATGCATGACACACAACCAGAAAGTAATGAGCTTCTCTGCCAGTCACCTTCACTCCACACCAATAACAGTTTTTGTGCTGGTCTTCCCAGAGTCGTGAGGCCGCGACAAAGGTGAGTGTGTCACGCCATCATGTGTCCAATGGGAATATATCTCTATCATGTCCTGTAGAAACTAATTGTATGGAAACATGATAATGTGAGAAAATAACGAGATGAGTCTAATGTTAACGAGTTGTGTCTGATGTTAGCAATTGTGTATAATGTTTGGAAGAGTTTTAATTTTTTTGATGGTACGTACTAAATTTGATCAACACAACTTTTTCTCAATTTCTTGTCCCATGTTCAAACTCACAAAGAGACAATGACAGACAGTTCTTTCCATTATGTTTGTTGAATCAATCTCGTTAGGCCAAGATATATGTTGGTGACGTTACCAAGAAAGATCAAAGTCAAGCGTCATATCTTATTGTACGAGCCTAAAATTGTTGTCATGGCAATTATGTATATAACCTTGAACTTGAATATTTAGAGAGATTCTGGTGTGTTAGGAGTTGTATACCTTCTTAATACACCCGAGTTTCTTTTATGCTCAGACATCTTAAAATGTTTTTTGCACGCATGCACACAAAGGCTCCAAAAAACAGTATCCTCTCAACAGTGAACCTCTTATATGATCTAGGAACATTTGTTTTAATTTCTACTGTTTATCTCACCTACTGAGAATAAGTGTGAGTATATTTAAAAGTAGAACACTTCTGTATGACACTTACTGAGTACGTCACCACTAAGTGCCTCTCTCATATAACTGTGATGATGTCAACACAGGTCAGGTGGAGCAAACAAACCAAGTAGATCAGATGGATGAGGCGGATCAAATAGGCCAGGTGGATCAGATGGGCCAGATGATCAACTAGGCCAGGTGGATCAGATGAGACAAGTGGTTCAAGTCTCCCAGATGGATCAGACCGACCAAGTGATGTAATTATGATAATGAGGCCCAGCACAACAGCACTCTAGGGGAGGAGGAATGTCTGTCCAATTAATTCACCAGGAGGAGAGTGAGGGCCAGGGAGCTGGTATGTCCCAGACGTATTATTGATTGATTAAGAGTGGTTCATAACACTTTCAGAGGACCACCCTATCCATTTCCTTCTCACTTCTCTCCAATTCACTAGCATCTTCCATCTTTCCCATCCCTACCCTCATTATCGATTCCTCTACTCTATCTCTCTCTTCTCTAGTCCATCCTCTATTCATTTCCTTTCACAACACTCTACACACAACCGATTCCACTTTTATTTTCCTTTCCCGTATGTCACTCTTTTCTTCCACAAACCCAGCAAGCAGCACCCTCTAGTACTCATACCATCACGACCCTCCCCACCCCATTAATCCCTATATACTAGTAGTTCCTTAACCCTTACAACTTTTTGTCTACCACAATGATCAGTCACTAACGACAGTGCCAACCACACCACCCACATCACCACCACACTGTAAGAACCACACCTGGAGATAAACTTACTGGGTCACTCCGAGGTTGAATTTTGCGTAAATATGTTGAACGTCTTGTCACATTTTTAACCTAGAGAACAATTAGTAGGATACACCTATGCCTGAAATCCTGTGAGAGACCTTTAGAGAACACTAAAACAGGTAAACATATGAGCAAAGTGTTCGTCTGACGCATATTTAGGCTTGTCATCCATAAGAAGCAATCGTACAGAGCAAGAATTTCAAGTGGAATATAGAAATTTGAAGCAGTAAGAATTTCAAGAAGAATATGGGATTTTGAAGCAGCTTAGCGATCCTGTGAGAAGGGTTCTGAGCTACTGACCCGTGACATCTCCACCTCTGTTACCAGCAACAAAGATCTCACAGGTCAGTCACTGAGTGTCCTCAACAGAAACCACAGGTGTGTTTTCTTAAGTTGTATGTTCTTCCATTCTTTGATTTTATACTCTTACTGTGGCGGAAATGAGACTATTTGTGTCTGTATATGACTCTTGATGTGGCAGTAATGAGACTGTAGGTGTCTGTATATGACTCTTGATGTGGCAGTAAAGAGACTGTAGGTGTCTGCATATGACTCTTGATGTAGCATACTGAGATTGTATGCAAATGTTTGTACTGTACAGCATATGATGACTCTTGATGTGGTGGTGGTGACTGTGGCATGATTGTGTAACAGTGTAATGCTGTAAGATGGGGGTCCAATACCACATTGGAGGTGAACACAGCTATTTAAGTACTAAGGGTGGGAAATCAAGGCTCAAGAACACACAAAGTTTGGTTCAGGGTTAGGAGGTTCATAGAATTTCTTTATACTGTACATGATACCCACAGGTCTCTAATTTGATAACAATGCTACATTTTCTTAGAAAAACTTCAAAACAAAACCATGTTGTTAAATTTCAGGTGATATTGACTACCTAGCCAGCTGTCATGGAGTGCATGTACAGAGTCAGGCCAGGGTTAATTTCAAACTAAATATTCATAATTTGTTAATCTTAAGATGTAATGTATTACTGTAATTCTCAAATAAATTTTTGTTGAATAAAGTTCTTGAAGCAAAATATCTGTCTTGGATGTTTAGTGAAACCAATTTGTTTAGTATTGTGAGCCTGGCTGCTAATTATTCACGAGTACAGTAAGTCCTCGCTTAACGTCATCCTGCTTAACGTTGTTTCGGTACTACGTAGCTGAACTTTAAAAACCAAAAATTCGTTTAACGTCCCAGGGATCTGATACTACGTAGTTTTGGGTCGTCACGGACTACTTTCTACAGCGCATCACCCGCTCTTGTCTGACCGTGCTACGCTCTCTCGGCTCGACGCGCTACCCTCACTCGTGGAACGTCACAGCCTCCAAAAGCAACGCCAAGCCAGTCTCTGTTACGACTTCACACCATTCATGTGTGCTTAAGTGCTTTTGCTCTAAAACATAAGAACATAAGAATGGAGGAAACTGCAGCGGGCCTATTGGCCCATACTGGGCAGTCCCGTTTACACCCAACCCCTATTGCTCATATAAGCATCCAACCTATGTTTGAAGCTATTCAGCGTATTCGAGTTAATGATGATATTTGGTAACTTGTTCCATTCATCCACTACTCTGTTTCCAAACCAGTGTTTACCTATTTCACGCCTAAATCTAAATTTGTCTAATTTAAAACCATTGTTACGAGTTCGCTCCTGGTTGGGTAGTTTGAGTACCTTTGTAATGTCCCCTTTGTTTAGCCCTGCCTTCCACTTATACACCTCTATCAGGTCGCCCCTCGCTCCACGTCTCTCGAGGGAGTGCAAATTAAGATGCTTTAACCTGTCTCTATACTCAAGGTTCCTAATGCCCGGATTAGTCTTGTCATTCTCCTCTGAATTCTTTCCAAGGATTCTATATCCATTCTGTAATACGGTGACCAGAACTGAACTGCGTAATCCAGGTGTGGTCTCACAAGAGCAAGATACAGTTTTAGGATGACCTCGCCAGTCTTGTAACTAACACTCCTTTGTATGAACCCAAGTACTTTATTAGCCTTGTTACGAGCAAAAACACATTGTTTACTTGGCTTAAGGTTCTTACTTATCATTACTCCTAAATCTCTCTCGCAGTCGGATTTCTCTATGGCATCGTTGTTCATCTGGTATCCGGTTTCCCTGTTTACATCTCCTATACTGAGTACTTTACATTTGTCCACGTTGAATTTCATCTGCCATTTTTCAGAACATTCGAAAAATTTGTTTAGATCATCCTGTAGTTTTGTGGAGTCCTCGTCAGATTTAATAACACGTCCTATTTTAGTGTCATCAGCAAATTTGCTTATGTTGCTGTCTATGCCGATATCTATGTCGTTTATGTATATAATAAATAATAATGGTCCAAGTACTGAGCCTTGGGGAACTCCACTTGTGACGTTGCTCCAATGGGACTTAGTGCCATTAATGCTCACTCGCTGTTTCCTGTCCTGTAACCATGCCCTAATCCATTTAAGGATATTACCTTTGATGCCATGTGCTTCTACCTTTCTAATTAGTACTCTAACCATTCAAAATGGCTTCCAAGCACCCATCAAGTGCTACTGATGCTAGTGTAGTGAAGAGTATATATATATATATATATATATATATATATATATATATATATATATATATATATATACATACATACATACATACATACATACATATACATACATACATATATATATATATATATATATATATATATATATATATATATATATATATATATATATATATATATATATATATATATATATATATATATATATATATATATATATATATATATATATATATTTTTTTGCAATCTGGAAATATCTCTAAAGTTCATCGACTCAGTTAAGCAATGACATCAAAAGAGCATTGAGACTGTACTAAGTGGAGTTGATGCATATCATCAATTAAACAGGAATCACCTAAAACATAGCATCCTTAGCCTATTTCACCCTAAGCATTGTCCCCTCAACTTATTTCACCTAAGATTAAGGTGAAATAAGATGAAGGGCTAATTTTAAGTTGAAACAAGTTGAGGGGGGTTAATCTTAGGGTGAAATATGGTGAGAGAGGATGATAATCTTCCGAGTAATTCATCAACAGCTGCCACACATTATTGCTCCACCTATACGTGATACACACAGTAGGTGCATATTTCTGTCTACTTCAGCGCCCACATTACACCATCGATCCTCCAACACAAGACCATTCCTTAGGTCCTGCTTGGATCATAACACTTCTAACGAGTAAATTTTTACCGTGAGTG